GGCTCAGAAGGGTTAATGAGGGTCTATCTCCCTTATATCTCAGGTGTTTAGGAATTGAAACAAGGCCTGTACATTATCAACGGGGTCTTACACAAAAGCATATCAACCAGAGATTTTTTGCGTTTTTAGATTATCACCATCCTCCATCCAATCTTTACCTAAGCATAAGACTTGGAAACTTGGAATCAATATGCAAGTAAAACATTTAAAGAGTGACAACAAACGGATGAATAAAAACAAAAATAACACTTCAAGACAAGCGTACTTATTGCATTAAGATTTTCATTAAAAAATAGACAAGTTTCTACATGCAAGCAATGTTTAAACAAACAAGTAAGAATGCAAATGAAAATGCGGTAAAGAAACTAATGATTGCCATCGTTGAGGAGACTTGAATCTGTATGTACTTCTTCGTTCTGACGACTTTCTGCAGTCTCGATGCTTGAAGAGGCGAGAGAATTCTCCTTTTGATCTGATGTGAACACAACAATCTTTGAATTGATCCAGTCTCAGACCTTGTCTCTGGATGACATGCCATCTTTAATCGAATGGCCAGGTGCCCTGGAATAATATACATAGAAGATTCTCTCAGGAGAGCGAATGAATGCTTTACCAAGCGAATCAGTATAAACTGCATCACCTAGCATATTATGCCACAAAGAGACAATAGAATTCGTCTTCTATCAGAACAACAGAGACATCCACCTGGCGAGAAAGAGTCTGACAGTTGGCCAAATATGAATTGGACTTTTGGAAGAGACGCCAGACAGGTGATGGGCTTTATACTTCAACCCCTTTACAGTTTTCCATATCAAAACCAGGTGCCCCTGAATAGGGGATACATCTAGCATGTGTATCGCAATCAGAAGAGATATTTGTGGGAGGAGGACCCCAAATATCACAGCTGGAAATAACAAGATGTAATGCACTGGGATCACATCAACATGCTCATCAGGCTTCTTCTATTTTTTCTTAAAAGCTTTTTTCCATAAATTCACTTGGGGAACAAAGGCTGGTTGATGTTGAACAAATCAGGGAATACAAAGATGTGGAGAGTTCCCCTGATTGAATAGTCGGATGCCCTAGCATAGTAACCACATCTGACGTTTGTATCATGATCTGGAAGGGAATTTATAGACAGTACCGAAGTACGGGGTCTAACCCACTGAAGCTCGAACATGTGTGGAGACCAATGAGAATGAAGCACCAATATAAGATCAACTCTTCTTCAGGCGTATTCTAATCTCATTGGTAAAATAAGCTTCTTGAATTCACATAGTAAATGGGAACCATCTGCTGATAAGATGTTCCAAGAACTCAAGATTATGTAGCACTCCATGGTTGAAAGCAATTCCATGGTGCGGATTACATGAGTCTTTAGTCGATTATATTCCTTCTCAAAGAATTCCCGACCATGGGCCAAAGCTTGCATGTATACCATGATCAACCCTATTGGGATCTTCGCATCTGTTAATCCCCCAAGGATTTATCCCATATTGGTCTCTAAACATGCGAATCTAGAAATCAAGTTGAACCTATAAGGAGAACACCAGGCCTGAATAAGAATCCCTGATATTTGAGTACCTATTATGGATGCATGAATATGCATGGGGTGCATGAATGGATGCCATATCATGTTCCATCGTTTCCAAGAAATTTACATGCTTTGATTTTAATTTTACACAAGAAAGGGATGGAAAAGTTCAACACAAGGCTTACAAATATGATTCCTTGTAAATAACAGAACATGTATGTTAAGTATGTGGTAACCATGTTATGTATGCAAATACATGGGATGAAAGTTCCATCACTTCTGAATATGATTGCTGCACTGTTTCTGAACCATATGAATATTATCAAATCAAAGGTCCGACATAGCTTCCGTACATACAAGTATCAAGTACCCTGTAGATCCCTAATTGTATGGGATCAAGGCTTCTGAAACATTGGATACTGTTGAGCCTTTTTTGAATATTCCAGGAATACCAAGATCAAAGGCCCAAATGAACCTCCAAGTGAACAAGTCAAGAACTCAGAAACTAAATCTGAGAACCATATGGTCACCAACAGCACATACGGTTACCATATGAACATAGTCACTATCTGAACATAGTCACCATCAGAACAAGTCCCCAGCGGTACCTGTAAATATTATCCCCTCCCCACTCACGGGTGTAAACTAGGTCAAGGTAAGGCAAGGGTAACTCGAAAATCATGGCTCCGCTTGAAAGTAAAGTCATCGCAACACAGACGTGTATGATGAAAATACCTCTAATTGAACCTCGTCCGAGTGTGGTATATGACATGACTGCACTAGTCGGACCACATCCTATAACCATCATACCCCCACTCTATTCCTAGGCTTCCTAGATAGTGCACTCTGGCCTGGGTACTGGGCATTTTACCTTATAGTAACATCCCAACCCAATCAAGAAGCAGAAATAGTACAACAGTAGCATATGGAAAATAGTAAAATGCAATGCACACATATGCTCAGGTAATCATGTATGAATGAATAAACTGAAAGCATAAAAAATAAACACCCAAATAAAATAAGATAAGAGCTAGGAGCAACTCCGGGATGAACCAACATTTAGTCGACCTATCCCTAGTGAAGTTTCCAGCTGAAACAACCGGCTGAAAATCATCAAACAATGAAGTCGCCATCGAACGTCTTTTATCCCACATGAAGGGATAGGTAAACATCAAGAAAACCTGAGAAGGGAGAAGTCACGGTCTTGCAACCGAGAGATCGGGTAAGGGAGTCTGTTACGCGAGGGGAAGGTATTAGCACCCCACACACTCGTAGTACTCTACGGTATCCACTCTTGCTATCTATCTTATGGGTGTTCTAAGCCATGCTTACTGTTTACTACTGAGGAAGAATGCATGCAAAAGGAATGAGAAAAGAATGTAAGGAAAATAAAGTTATACTCGCTTGGGCCCTACCCCAATGCCTACATATTCCTTTTGAGGAATCAGAGTTACCAAAGTTAGGCTCATATGTTTTTGTTTGTTTTGTCTTTTTTGCGAACAATGTTAATTCCTCCTTCCGTCGCAGCTCGACCTTTGGATACTCACGCATTGACACAGAAGTAAATTAATCATGTCCTTTCTTGAAAATAGTTTCGATTTACGCCATTGAGGCAAGATGCCACATTTGATTGGTTTGTGTTTTGTTACCTTGAAAAAGGGTTTAAGTATGATTAGTATGTCTTATGATTTGCTAAGAAGAGAGAGTTTTAGTTTTAGATGCAAAGATGCAAAAAGGGAAGAAAAGAGTCTAAGGGAGACTAGCCTATTTCTAACCTAATATTATCATACAATGGTGGCCCTATGTCAAGGATGAAAGGGAAATCTCTACCTAATGTTAGCATGCATGGTTTGCAACCTAAGGTCTAACTTGCATCCGAAAGGAACAAGCACGTCCTAAGGGAACATAATATGTACAAGGATAGAATAAGCAAACTCAGAAGAGCACACACATAAAAGAGTAAGGAAAAGAAATGAAATGCTTTAGTCAAGGGGAGCGTATCACCCGAGACAAACAAGCGGGAGTAGGATGTAAAACAAAAATGTGACGTCCAAAGCGACTGAACACCTAACCAAGATATAGGAGATCGAGGTAGGCGACAAATGGAAATACAAACAATCAAGGAGGATCAACTCGACCAATGCAAACTCCTGAAAAAGAATGGGGGTTCGATTGCAGAACCCTTCTCCACTGGATGACTCGATACACATGAGCAGGCACAACTCCGAAGCATCATGGTGCATCATGAGCTAAGGATGACACCAACGAAATTGTGGGGGTTGATTACGAACCCTCCCTGCTCGCCTCCTTTTAAGGACTTATCATCTGTACATATGCAGGCACAAATATAAACACACTTGCAAAATACCTACTCAAAGGCAGAGTTTTAAACAAACCATACAGAAGTAACAACCATAATGCACACAATGCGGAATTTCCCTAAACGGGTCTTTAAATAAACCAGAGGGGTTCCTGACATGATCATAAATGGAGATCCCCGTCATACATCTCTATTCCTACTTCTCATTGCATCAAAAGCAGTAAAACCCTACTTCTCATGATCTCTAGAAAAGAAATAAAGAAATACGATAAAGTGTGGAAGTAAGGAATAAAATAAGGTCACGATGATACCTAACAGAGAAGGTTCACTGCCTCTTCAAAACCATGCAACCGATAAGAAAACTCTCCCAAGAGCTTTCTCGAATTCCTTGATGAATATTACGCTTTAAATTCATTTCAAAATATCTTGAAACTCCCCATTCAAGTTCCTTTTATTCATCAAGATCCCATAAAATTATTATATAATCAATTAAAAATCAATCATAACAATTATATAAAAGATGAAATTGAAATAAGTATAGAAAATGAATCTTCTGGAGGTGCAAGGATGAATTCAATGGTCCATTGCAAGTAACTGAAATATGCATTAAGCCCAAACTAGCTCATCAGAATGAGATCTTTTTTGTTCACAAACTTCAGTCTTCTCCAAAAAACTATAATGGGCTTATGAGATGTTATACAGCCCAGACCCATCACCAACTATTTTCAGATCAACATTATATTATTATATTTTCTATGATTATTTACTATAAAAATAAAGAAAATAAAAATTTAAATAAGAGAACGAAAGGGGATTAGGGCTAGATCGATTTATCCCCCTCGTTCGTCAACGGCACCGCACAAGTGAACTTCTTCGCCTTCCGCCTCTTCAATCGGCCTTCATCTTAATCTACCGCCGCCGATTCAGTTCTGATTGAGTTATTTCCTAAGCTTCGTCGCGGTTTTCTATCATCATCATCATCATCGATTCTCCTCTCTTCTCAATCGTGGAAACCTCATTATCTTCATATTTGCAGCGCCACACCTCAAGGTTCATCATGCTCTCATCGCTTCAGACGATTTTGTTTTCTTCTTCATAGAACTTCGTCACGGTTTCAACATCACAATATTGAAATTTGCTTCTTTAATGTCGATTTCACTCACTCCAGCATCAATCGTATCTCAACGCCAACATATTTGTTCCTCTTCATCTCAATCTTTACTCTCCACACAAACAGGAGACGTAAAAAGAGTGAAGGGAGAATGTTTACCGCCCGAAGAAAGCGTATGGTACCTCTTCAATGTTGGCGACGAGCAAAAAAAAATCCAGAGAACATATTCAGGTATGCTTGCGATTCTCGTTTCTTTCCATAAAACCTTCTACTTCCGCCTCTTTTCGTTTCCGTAATTTCTCTATGTATCTGAAGTTGTTGTTGTTACGATGTTGAAACAATTTGCAGTCGAAGTTGCAAAGCGAATTTGAGATATTGCAGTGATGATGCGATGAAGATGATACTGTGAAGAAATTGCAGAAGATGATTAAGTTGTTGTTGTTGCAGTGACTGAAGCCGGTTGCAATTCTGTTGATGATGATTAGATTTGCTGAAGATGAAAGTTATGTTGAAGGTGATTGAAGATGCAGTTGATGAGATGTGTAGAAGATCCAGAGATCTTTCAGAGAATGCAAAGAGAGAATTGAGATTGAGGTTATGGTGAATATTGCCACGTGAATACAGAGGAGAAGAGAGAATTGAGAGGATGAATAAGAGAGAAGAAAGAGACTCCTCTCTGATAAATTTTTTGTGAGTCCTTTTATAACTGATTTTTTGTATGAATGAATAAGGAATCACTTTTGAGATTTTTCTGTTATGAATGAATCGTCAACTTTCTCCTCTCCTCCCTCTATTTATTTTTCTTTTCTGTTATCAATTTGTTATACTGGAAGTTTGTTAGTTGTGTAGAAAATTGGTTAGGAATCAGTTAGCAGTTAGTTATGGAATTGGTTAAGAGGTTGTTAGAGGAAGTTAGGAATTCTATTGTGACAATTAGTTAGGGAATTTATGTTAGAAGTCTGTTGGTTCTGTTTAGAAGTTGGAAAGTTAGTTATGAACTGACATTATGTTATTGTTAATGGATACATGAAGTGCATGGCAAGTTTTTTTGACAGGTTATTTCTGAAATTTACAAGGCTTGTGCAGGGCTGGGAAATTATGTTATCTTTCTATTACAAGCAGTTATAGAAGTATGTCTTCATTTCGTGAGGCTGCATTTCCTTCTGATTCTTTCTGTTCTTCATTTTTCTTGGACTGAGGCATTTGATTTATATGAACTGGTTTTGATGCAGTGTAACCGTGGGAAACTGTTCTTGATGCAGGGCTTTTTGGTAATCTCATATTTGGTCCCCAAAATTTTGATTAATTATTTTTCCACTTCGGTTAACTGTCTCGCGTTTATTCACTGCAGGGCTACAATTTTGAAATTGTAATTCGACTATCCATATTGTGCTTAGCAAGAAAATGGATTTCTGAAATTGCTACTCTTGGAGCATCAAGATTAATACTCCTCAAGCTCTCTGCTAAACCCGAACCCGTGTCTCAATACAAGAAAGATTGACTCTTGATTCAACATCAGAAGAAGATATTATCTTATGAACAAAGCCTTCTTGGTATCCTTCTCCATATAGATGGCTTTGAGACCTGGTATCCATACATCAAAGTGGGAATTCAGGTTCTTTATGCACTAAAGTCATGTAAGTAACACCAACAATATCTAACTTGATATTTAACTCGCCAAAAGTATCTCTACTGTAGCCTGGGCTTGTTGACAGTTGAGAAACATTGTTGCCATATTTTGAACAACATTTGTTCTTTGTTTGTAATGAGATAAATTTTGATCCAGGGTCATGAGCTGCTTATTTTTTGAAACCTTATTCAAATTGATGTTAAACTATTTTACATTTATAAATTTCAGACAAATTTTCTGAATTGTTTTTTCTTGGGCAGATTCTGTGTAATTGAAATAAGGCATTGGTTTGGTGTATTACAAATTGGGTCATTTTGGATTTGAAAAATGGACAAGGTTCAAGGCTTAGTAGAATGATGGATAAAATGTTTTTGAATCTATGTGATTGTATGAAGTTTTGGACCTTGGGATTTTGTGCTTGAACTCAGACAAATGAGTATTGGTAATTGATGGTGAAATGATATTTGCATTTGAAAAGTAATGTAAACTTGAACCCGTGAATGAATAAAATGTTGAATTTGAATTGAATGAACTTTGAACTTGATTGTAACTTGATTTCCAACTAAATTCCTCTTTCATTTTAATACTAATGTGAACTTTAATCGAGTTTGAATCATCCTAAATTCAATGAAAACCCCTAATTCAACTCTTCCATTCATGTTAACTTGTATTTCAAGCAACATGCTAATGTCTTGATCACCACTTCATCTTTTGTAGCATGAATCAAAACCTTGGAAACTCTATCTTCAAATGTTTGATTCCACAAAATTCTTTATCACTTAATGATTTTAACATAAAACAATACCCTTTAGAGAATCCTTGGATGAAGATGAATGAGATTTGTATCATAGAGGAAGACCCTTGAGATAACCCTACCCATGATCTTTACACTGATGAACGCTAACAAGCTCAAACCATGTATGAGAAATCCTAGTCTTCTTGAGATACTCTCGAATCTTTTAATGAAAATGGGATCCTTGTAGCTTGATGAAAGAAGAAGTTCACAATAATGCTTAAACAAGCAACCCTAGATTTCAACCAATGATTGATGGAGGAACCCTTAGAAACAAGCTTGAATGAAGGTGAAAGCCTAAAAGTAAAAAACCCTAGCTTCAAGATCCTCGATCCCATGCCCGTTTGATTGATTAATGATGCATGATGTTGTTAAATTACCTAATGGAAGTTATGTACATGAGAAAAATGTGAGATGCGTAAGCCAGATAAAAGTGAGAGGGTATGCCAAATTTGGGGGTATTACACCTCCTAACAATGAAAGCCAAAGTTATTGGATCTAAGGTTTCAAAGTAACATACTTGGGCTTGCAAACATAAGTTTGGGCCACGAATGATCATTTCTCGATTTGGGACAAAATTTAGCGCTATGTGAAGCAATCGTATGTGGACTTATGTAGAAGTCACACCTATTTTGAGGTTGGTCAGTAGCAATTTGTGCACCGAATGTTAGAGAAATGATATGTAGATTATTCTCCAACAACATGTAACACAAGTTAGAAAGGAATAAAATAAAGAGGGAGGGGATGTATCAGATGAAATTAGGGTTTCAAATATCATCAACATCATTCATCCAGTTTGGTGGATTTGGTTTTTCAACCTATCTACACCCAAGATCCAATGAGGTTTAGGAATTTGTCCCAAAATAACACCCAAGTTAGGACCAATTAAAAAAAATTCAATAAAACATTATTTAAAATGATTAAAGAAAGGGAAATAATTGGTAAAATACACAAAATGTTTCAAAACACCAAATAAAAATCCTAAAAAAAATATCAGAAGTCAAACATGAGTCAATAATTATTGACACAAATTTTCAGAATTTTTTAAAGTCAAAAACTATTTTTAAAATTTAAAGAAATAGGAAAAACAAACCAAAATTTGTGAAAAATAGTAAAATCAGAAATAAAAATAAAATGAGATCATCAATATTTGTCAAGATGCCATTGGATCCTTCCATAATCTTTCCAGAATTTAAAAATCAAGAAAAGTATTTTTAAAACAATTAAAATAAGGCAAATAATACAAAAATTATAAAAAATATCAAACATCAAAATAAAAATATGAAAAATATTCACAAAGTCAGAAGTAATTCAAAGTATTTTTGTATATTTTTTTCATGATTTTTGAATAAAAAATAAGAGAGTTATGAATTTTTGAACTTAAAACAAATAAAATATAAAAATAAGAAAATAAAATAATGTCAAAATAGTATGGGCAATCCGATCATAGTCAAAACGCGTTAGTGAACAAATCTAAAGGACCAGGCGCACCGTGCTTGATATGGACCTTAGTGAGAAACATTCAAAACCAAAAAAATCCGGGCCAATCAAATTAAAACAATTGTCACGCTATCATTGGTTGAAGAACGACACGTAGGTCATCTTCAACCTCCAGGACTCTGCACATTTAGTTTTTATGAGTTTCTTAAAATGGAAAAATTAGAAGCTCATAGTGGTATCATTGGATTCGTCTCTTCAAGACGATCCTAACCCTACCCTCGCGAAAAATTTCTGTAAAAAACAACTCAATTGATTTGAAGAAATCCAGAAGAAAAATTTTTGGAAAGGGATTCAAAAATTCATGAGTAAAACTCACTTCCAGTTAAAAACTAATGATGCGATTAGTATCAGAGTCACGAGAGCTACATTGTAGCAACAAATTTGGAGAGAATTGATGAAGGAATCTACTTGTTGAAGTTCAAATCCAGAGCTTTGAAACTTGACTTGGCTAGCACAACTCAGGACACTTCAAGACTTGGTACTTCTTCTGTTAGCTTCAGTGAAGTTCAAGGATGAAGAATCAACAAATAAATTGGATCGAAAGAAGCTTTATAATTGAATTTGAAGTTGTAGAACTATGAGTTACGGAGGGAGTTCAATAGAGGTTCTTTGTCTCTCTAAAGCTTATCTAATGAGTGGGATATCATCCTCTATTTATAGGGAAGTGAATGGGATCAAGAGGAGGGATGGATGATGCAATTTGAGCTGAATTCGTGCACACCCTGATCATGACAAAAGTGTGACTTGCAAGTTGTCAAACTCAACCATTCCTTGCATTTTGATCCTTAATCCAGCCTTAGCAACTTGGTTAAACATTTTTAAGTGGAAAGTGCGCACAAAATTGGTGACTAGAGGTCACATTATGGAATCAAATTTTGACTTCAAGAGAAAACTTTAGTTCCAAGGTATTGACTTTGCAACCATGGTGCAAGCAACTCAGGGACCTTTATGGAATGATTCTTGAAGCATTGAAAGATCTCACCACAAAATTCACATTGTGCCAAGAAAGACATCATTTGGAGATCTGAGCAAAAAATTATGATCAATTGAAATCGTTAAAAACACACGGATCTTTGTAATTAGGAATATTTCTAAGTGTTGAACTTCAAAATGACCTATAATGTTCTTCAAAATTACATGACCTTCCACTCAAAATTTGATCTTGATATCCGAATATGGAATAAAGTAGACTTCTTGAATTGAATTATGGAATTGATATCACTAAAAAATCATAAAAATTGAAAAAGTTATGGTCTTTAGAAGATGATGAACAAATTTGGGGAGATTCACAAAAGACCTATAATCTTTTAAATTCTTCAACCATTTTCCAAGCATCTTCAAGTCTTGCACATAAAAACAAAGTTGTATTAGACATCCTAAAGATTATAATGGAAAAAGAATGGGCTCAAGGAGATAAAAATTGACCAAGTTATGATCATGTGAAGTCAAACCCTAAAATTCAAAAGCCTTTCAAGGAGACTTGTAATCTTTCTCAACTTTTAGTGATCTTTCATTCAAAATTAGCCTTAGACTTATGAAGATAGCTTGTTATGGATCCTTTAAAGAGAATCATGGCTTTGGATTCACTCAAAAATCTCAAAAATGAGCAAGATATGGCCCTTGGAAGTCAACAAACCCTAACTCAGAGAGTGTCAAAATAACATGAAACCCCTATCAACTTTTGATGATTTTTCTTGCATAATTGGATATTGTAATGTGAAGAGAGGTTACTGTAGATCATGATAAGAATCCATAGAAATAGGAACCAACTCAAAAATTTTAAAATTGAGAGAGTTATGCACTTGTGATCACCGAATCTAGTATTTTCTCAATTAGGTCAAACTTGTTGAGTCAACCTTGAATCTTTTTGAATTTTATTGACAAAATAAGCATGATAAGTAATAAGAGGCCTTGAAATGATGTTGTCTTGATTCACACTCAAGGATGGAGCTTAATTCTCAATGAAGCTTGTTGAAGAAGACATGGAAATAAACACATGAACATATGAATCTTCTTGATGACTTCCACCACCAACTTTGAGGAGACCTTGACCTAAATAAAGTGAAAGGGCTCCTTGAACCACAAATATTTAATTCCATATATATATATATATATATATATATATATATATATATATATATATATATATATATATATATATATATATATATATATATATATATATATATATATATATATATATATATACCTTTGAATGTTCATATTGCAGGTGATCACAATTGCATTCATCTCACTATCTAATCTAGAGTTTGAGGGGTTATTCTTAATCAAATGGTTCTCTAATGTATTGAAAGAGCTCAATCTTCAAGGTATATATACACATATTGATTTTAGTTAAAAGAAAACCTGTATAAGATACACAATTCAAGGTGCTTGGTAACCTCTCAAAAGCAAACTAAAAGATGTGATAAAGTAGAAAGAGAGAACCAACCCTAATGTGTGATCTTGATGCATTGGGACATAAGATGATGAGGAATCTTAGTGGCAAAAATTAGGGTATAACAACTGCCCTTATTTAAGTTTCTTCTATCTGGAGATACGAAGGTTAAAATCTTCG